TGAATAAAGGCTGATAGTTTCGAAAGAAACTGTTTGGGGCTGCGTCGGTGGGAGTAACGAAATAATTTGGATATATCAACAAAGTTGAAATGGTAAATTGGCCACCATAATGATTACAAAAGCTGACGTTTCGAGCGTTAGCCCTTCGTCGGAGCGAATGACAAAGGGCTAATGCTCAACGAAGGGCTAACGCTCAAAATGTCAGCTTTTGTAATCATTATGGTGGCCAATTTACCATTTCAACTTTGTTGATATATCCAAATTATTTCGTTACTCCCACCGACGCAGCCCCAAACAGTTTCTTTCGAAACTATCAGCCTTTATACATAATAGACCATAATGGGGTAATGGTCCTGAGAAGCCAGTGGCATAAAGCCAGCAGAAATTGACCCAAGTACCCCCTCCCACCCAGGACTACCCTTCCCTGGACAAATTGTATGACCCTTAATGACTCACAGTGACATTAATACTGGAGTAAAAACTTCTGTACATACAACTACCTGTTTGCAGTGTCTCTCTTGAATGCCTTTGAACCATCAGGAGTGTCCATCCCAATAGAGTTTTGGTCAAATGGGTGGGAGGGGTAAGGCATCTTCAATTCCAAGGGGTCTTTGGGAGTACTCTTGACCCAGCCTTCCTATATTGGGATACACTTATCAGTCACAAAACAAATGATATTGGGAGAAAATCTAGACATGTTCATTAGCATTAGGGACCTAACATAATTTACAGGGAGAGGAGGGGGGGGGGGCTGGTGGAAATGAGAAATAAACTTCTCAAAAACTTGAAGTCCCCCCTTTATTGGGGACACACTTTTTATTGGTTCCCCCCCACCCCATAATTCTTTAAATTAATTTTTTGGCACTCAAAAAATGATCTAAGATACTATACCAAAACATTTTATGTAAACCAAAATGAAATGTTATGAAGAATACCATCCTACCTTTTTTAAAAGTGATGCACAAGGAGATGAAAGTGACAGAGGGGAAAGCAGTGAATCTGAGGATGAAATACTTTAAGGACTTTCAATTGTCAACCGTTTGTTTAGATTGAGATTGAGTCTTTTGTTTATCAGAGTCTCCAATTAAAACATAAAAAGTCACTTTTGATGGTATTGATATTGCAGAATTTTATTTGGTCCTCCCTTTTTATGTGCACACAAATTTTTGGTCCCCTCCTCATTTCCACCAGCCCCCTCCTCCCTGTAAATAATGTTAGGTCCCTTGTGCTGTTGATCGTTACCCCTAAAAAGAAGGCTTCATGTCGAAAACTATGCTCAAATTTTTCCTTATGCTCTATTCAAACAATAGCTTCAAGAGCCCCTTTATCCTTCCCCCATTCCTACCACCCAATAGGTAAACCGTGCTTGGAATTCTCTAAGTTCAGAACAGCCGAACATTTTATTGGATCAAATTCCCTAAGTGCAAGCCAGAAAAGTACTCTCATTGTTAGCATTAGCAGGTTACAGAATTTATCGAACATGTCGAATTGTGAATCTAGGGAATTTAAAAGAAGTTTAGTCATTATGCCAGCATCGTGTTAGAACTTCATCGACAAGCCAGAAATCCTGACGGCATAATTTATCTGACCCTACCCATCAAAGCAGAAGACTGTAACACTCTTACAACTCATTGATCCACACGTGTATCCTGAGCGTGCGCCGGAATTCGAAACATAACACGAAGCTGCTCTCACTCATTATTCAGGAAGATTTGTTTTGAAAGACTCTTTTCTAAATGCTGTTTTGAACTTGTTCTGTAACCTAAAAATAAATGGAAAGTACAAACAAATTGGCAGTCACGAGTAAACCGTAATCGTAATTCTTCATCTTGACCCCTCACGTCTCAGCAGGGAGCAGTGTATCACGGTGGATTTAGAGCAATACCAGAATCAAGCAGGAAAGATTTAACTCAGACTTAGGGTCAATCTGTTTTGCTTACAAAACTCTAATTAGGAGGAATATATTCTGTCCTGTTATAGGCACTTGGAAGTGACTTTTTCATCAAAAAGACAATGCAGGCATGATTAGTATGTTTAAACTTTGATCGGATTTCATCACATTGAATTCCGCCAACGCCAGTAAACATAAGTTTTTTATAACGCGGCTTCTCTGCCAGCTAAGGTAAAACCATTGTGCCCGAAAGTAATTCGATTTAGGATTAAAAAGCAAAATACTGATCCCACGGGCTAAAAGAATAATTGAAAGATCACATTTTTAAGAGCCGTGCCGTCCCTCAAACTATGGTCGTGGCGGCTTTACAATTATGAAATAACAATCAGTGTCAAGACCTCTGAGTTTTGTTTGTTCCTGTGCTAACTGTCAGAAATTTGACGAGCCCAGCCATTGTCAAGGACCACTAAATTCATCGATGAAGAGTAAATATTTAGGACAAGACGTGCTTCATTTGAATACGAAAGCTAGAGTCCTGTGAAAAGTTAAGACCAAGTATACCTGTCGAGATTAACACCTTCTGAAGATGCACATGCATGTGTTCACGACAGTTCGGAGGTCTTGTGGGGACAGATACTTTGTACAGAGCTAACCGCAGTGGATTGAAGGTCATTATGTAGAGACAATGAAGAGCGAAATTTTCTTGGGCACAGAAAATTTTTCTTTGCCACAAGGAGCCATTCATTCTGTGACGTGTTTGGATCAGCTTAAAGCAACGTTATCCCCGTTATTTAGTTATACATTGCGCGGTTGACGCCTTGCGTTACAAGTAATACGGTTTGCTGAGCTTGTCCCGGAGACCCCAGGAGTTTTACACAACAGTTCAAATTGCTGGATCGGGCGAGTGTTTCATTGTTAACGATCGAGAACTCGGTCGAAGAACTTCCGGCTGTGCTCGAATACAGAGGATGTGAATTGCACTACACAAGTACTGCGTTTACCTCGGAAAAAAAACTACGAGCTATTATTACTGGTCATTGAAGAATTTTAGTTGTATCCTAAAGGATAATTGGCGCTGCCAGCGATCGCACAATGAGTGAAATTCGTAAATCAGAAGGATTCACCTTGTTGGTTCTCGAGATTTTAATAATCATAATAAATACTTTAGCAATTATTGTGATTGTCCGTTTCAAACAGAAATACAATCCAGATATTTTGATCTTCACATTGGCCGTTGCAGATCTGCTAAAGGCGCTTATTCCACTAAACATGACTCTGGTAGCATACTTGAAGGGAAACGAAATGAAGGAAGGGTCGCCATCGTGCACGATCTTTGGTTGGACAGCTTTTACGCTCAACTGTGGAATAATGCTCGTGATGACAATAATGGCTATTGATAGATATGTTGCGATGTGTATGCCTTTTAGGTACAAGGAATATCTCCCGAAAAGGCGACTTATTTACATTATCATTGGAGTCTTCGTCTTCAGCGGAGCCCACTCCTTGTTGCCTTTAACAGGGGTTGGTAAAATGAGGTCTTATAGCAACGGTAGCTTTTGCCACTTTGACTTCGATTCCACGAAACCTGCTAGTATGGGTTACAGTATCTTTATTCTTGTCCTGGGGTTTTCGATGCTAGTTGTTGTGATATTTTGCTACACACGTGCCATGCACAGCGTCAAAGGATTAATGCGTCGTCAACGCGGAATGTCCACTTCAACAAATGATATAGACGGCGCAGACAAGAAACGACAGCAGATGAACCGAATGTTCGCTCGTCTTATGATTGTTATGATGGTGGCCTTCTGTCTTTCGTGGCTTCTCTTCTTGGTAAGTTTGTAAACGGAAGTGCTTTTTTTTTTCCAATATATCAGGTGATATGAACTGTTTTCGTTTACAAGGGACCTTCCCGATTTAGGTTATAGTTATGGATGTCTCAATACTCTTTATGATGAGAGCAATTTTTAAAGCAATGTTTAGTATTTATTAAGTATTTCAGATTTTAGTATTTTATTTTCGTAAGTTTCTCCAGTTTTGACTCGTTATCAGGGTTTCGCCGGGGTTTGCCATGTTTACCAAATGAGCGATCGAACGATTAGACAGACACGAAATCTTTCTGTTGTTAGTACACGCATGTATTTTCTGCCTGCCTCGAAACCGTTCGTCGAGGTTCTTGGTAAACTTGCTCAAGCAAAATATACATCCTTTTATTTCTTCATTTTATATCCTCACAAGTGAAATCTGAACTCCCAAGGATTGTTCTGTTATCTTTTAACAAATCGTCGAGGACTGGGATTCTGAGAATGTGCATCCATAGTGGTGCATCACAACCAGCATTTCACTTTCTTCGACTCACTAGACAAATACAGCTGACTACAGCTGTAAATAAGATGCAATTAGTTTTCCCATGCTATTATTTTCGATTGGTGGTAAAACTAGCGACAGAAAATCATTGACAGGATGTAAAAAAAAGTCAGAAAAGCTGTTGAAGCTCAAGTTTTATGCACAGAACCTGACAGCAACTTGGATGTATCCTAAACAACCTTCGCATCTTTTGCATAGCAAATATTTTTCTCATTCACTGTTCTATGATAAGCTCCCTGATTGGTTCCTGTTGTTTTTAATGTTTTTCCTTTCTCTTGTTAATGGTGTTAAATCGGTCATTTTAGCCGACAGTTCGTGACCTGAAAAAGGCATTAAGCTGAACTTCGCCCAGAATAATGGGTGTGCAAGGTTGAGTTCCATTCGATAGTCTCATTTGTCGCGTGTTTCTCGGTCTAATTCGCTGAGCGTCGATTGGTAAATTGTGACAATTGGTAAATTGGCTCGACATCAAGCCAAACTTTGCTCAGAAAATTGCGTGAGTAAAGGTCGAGTTCCATTTAATTGTCTCATTTGTCGCATGTTTCAATTGTTATGACAGATAACAGATCTTCCTTCCGTATTGTGTTAAATGATGCACAGTTTGCATTCCCTCCGTTTTAGATGAAAAGCGTTGTCATAGGAGCGCGTTGGTATCTGTTTTCCTGATAACCGAAAGGAAATACTCTGTAGAAGAAAACCATATATCCCGCTAGATGTTTAATCGGATATGGAGAGCTTGTGTTTAAGTAACGTAAACCAATTTAAGAATCCTTCGTATCTTAACAAACACGAGTTAAAAGGCCTTCACGGCCGGAACTTGTCCCGCTTCGCACTGTATGAATCACTAAGCCTCTCGAATAGTCTTCTGCAGTTTACCCCCAGCATTTGTCAGGTTCACCTTACAGGCTGCCTCTGCCTATCTGTGTTCCTGGGTATGAAGAGGCATTGTTAGAGTTAAGTGTCTACTAAAAAATACAGCACAGTGACTCGGCCGAAAATTGACCGAAACGAAATACTTCGATCCGCAGCGGTGTAGTTCGCTAACCATCGGGCCAATCAGCTTATGTCATATTTTATACCTTACGATTTATCTTCGACAATAAGATTCCTTATCATCCACTGAAAAGCAACATTCTAGGACATAAACGAGAAATAAATTACAGTTGACCTTAAAATTTGAATACCATCTTCTAAAATTAATGCTTGAATCCATTCAGCTCCATTCAACTTTAGTTTGTTTTATCCTAATGATACAGTTTTGAAATAGGGCTAGATAGGAAGACTCCTCTTATCTGGGAGATTGTTGGATAAAAGTTGTGTCGAAATGTGGATTGTTTGCTTTTGGGATGATTATGGAACCATGTGTTACAAAAACAAATAACAGCTGATTTCAGTCAAAGATTTCTCAAAATTATGATTGATATTTCCTTGTTTTCGCGTTGAGGGGATTAATGTCACAATGTTTGCTTGAAATGCTTTGGAAATAAATCAACATAGAGACTCTTAAGCAATATTACGCCCGTTTACGACTGACAGAGAGCCTGACTGAGGCTATAAAATTGCGTTCTTTATAAGCATCTCCATGCAAGACCGTTGGTCAAACAAATAACAGGAGGGGAAATACCACCACATGTACTTTTAGGGTGTGCTTATTCAGTTTGATTTGTAATTTTCGCATTTCTTATAATGTGCAAAAATTAATTATATTTGAAGTTGTCGTTTTGATTTAATATCGTGAGGGCGTCATCGATAAGCAATCTCCTTTTATCTATCAGATCGTCGTTCTTCAGCACGTGAGCGGCTGGTTCGAAATCCCTCCTTTAGCACATTTCTGGTCAATGCGGTTAGCTGTTGTAAACTCGGTCTTAAACCCGATCATTGGTGCAGCGATGTGCAAGCCGTACAGGAGAGGATACTTGTTTATTATAGGCGCATGTCTTCGCTGCTGCTGTGGCTGGCGTTATAACCTGAAAGGTATGCCAAATACAATATCTACCCACCTTCAGGTGGTGAACCTTGAACTATGATTTTGTTTTTGGCCTTAGTATACTAATGAAGTTTAGGTATCCAAAAATGGTAACTTGGAAAACAAGCAAGAGAGAACAGTTGGCAAAACACAGAAAGAGTAATAAGCCGATACATTCCAAGCTAACCCCGCTTTCCATCATCAAGAAATCAGTGTTGTCACCTTTGCCCTGCGAATAAGTTTCTTTTCCAAGGTCTAATGAAACTATCATCATCTCACCCTGTGTAAAAAAAAAACCGAAAATGACCTGACGAGCACTCAAAAAATCAAACTCTTAGAAAACAAAATATCAAAGTTGCGTTATTTCATTGATGATGGTAATTGCGGTGCCTCCATTCATACCTACGATGACGTTTGTCACCTGATGCAAACATCTCGTAGAGGCAGCTCCTGTTAAATGATAGATTGGTCTATACATGTGAACATTTAAACCACTCCCACTTGTAGCGGACACTATCATAAGTGGACAGCTGTTTTTTATTACTGCTTTCACGCAGTCGTAGTCTTGCCACCTGCATGCAAAACTTTGCGCCCAAATCCGTGACCAGCTCCACAGACCCACGAGGGTTTTCCATTATGAGATCTTCGGTTTTAATTTTATCACATTTTCTCTTTTTTAATATTTTCAGATCCATGGAAAAGTGCAAGAAGGTTGTCCGCTTGCTCACGGAACGGCTATGAAAGAGATCAAAATGAACCAGGTAAAAGCAACAAAATCAGGAACGTACCCTCTTTTACCAGTTATCAAGATTCTGGAATTGTACCTGACAGCAATGAGTATGGAGGAAGCTACGGGTATCAACAGGCTGGAATTGTGAATGCTACTTATGAACTGGATAATACCCCCGCTATACATCATGCCAAAACACTGCCCAGACTCACCCGGAAGCGCATCTCTTTCAAAGATGAGGTGGTGTCGGAAAGGGTAACAGAAATGGTCATTGGGGGAGAGGCGCAGAACGATACCATGGGAACAGTCGACTCACAGCAGTTCTCCACTGCATCTTCGGCTGATATTGAAAGAAATCTACCGCCCGCTGGACCTGATGATGACTTCCAAGGTACTAAAAATGAATGCAGCCTCAAAAATACCTCTGATGAAACCCATCTAATTGCAATGTCTGTGGGCACTGAAAGTGCAATTCAAGTTAGTTCAAATGAGAAGCAGAGGAGAAATCGAGATACTTCAGGTAAATAACACGTTGGATCAAATGGTATTGTCTTAGAAACAAACGTGCACGTGCCAACACATAGAGAGAGTTCCACCTAACTTCTTAAATATATGAAACTGAACATCCAGGATTTATAATAGAAGAAAAAAGAGTTCCACCAGAAAGAAAAACTCGAAAGAGAAATATACTCCAGAAAGCGCATAATAATTACATTATAATAGAGTTATGAAATCCAAATTTATCACAATTGTAGTTTTCAGATAGGGACGAATAAATGGAGGTCCCGTCTCCTGCAGGAGGGGTAAGAGACGTTAATTTCCCACGCACGAGATTACTGTGTGATGGATGTCCTTCCCCGGGGTGGGATGGGTGGGTTGGGTTTAGGTGGATGAACCTAGTAGGGGACTACGTGTCCTATTGTTCTTCCACCTGTACAATGTACACTGAAATCTTTAGAAACAGAAACGAAACAGAAACACCTAATATGGAAAATATGTCACAAACTGAGTTCCTTTTTCGGCTGAAATCGAACGCTTGTTTGGAGCAACAGAAAAGAAGTAAAATAAATAGTAGTCAATTTCATCTCTTCTAATCAAATCATTCAGTAAGGTTCATGGAAATTGTGTTTCCCGAAAGTAAGCCTGGAGAAAGGATTAAGCAAATAATTTCATGTCAAATCACGGTCAGTAATCGAAGAAAGAATGAAATTTTATGAAAATTTTCTGTATCACATAAAAAAGGATTTTTACTGAGAGCGAATTGAGAGTTTGGCACTCACATCTCTGTGTGATTCTCATTGGTAAGGGTTTCTTTTTATGTTTCAGTAGGAAGCAAAGAAAAATCAACAAAGGACACTTCAACCAACAGTCTCTACAACAACGAAAGAGGAACGTATTCACATGGACACATGGAGTCAATGAAGGAAAAAACTGCAGAAAATTATAGGAACTCAGCGAAGGGCTCTTACCAGGAGCAATCACGACAACATTCACCTGCCCACACAATTCAAATCACTCATTTTCCAGTTGACACGAACTCCAATATAAATACAGCAACGTTGAAATCATCCGTTTTAACTGACAAGCAAACCTCAAAATCCCCCTCCGTTTTCTTGGCGTTTTCACCCAGGAGTAGTTCGTTTATTGAAAGGGTTCGGAGGATATCAGCGCCAGAGCATAAACCGCGATCTCGGTCACCTATCAAGGACGATGATTCCTTAGACGCAACCTTTTCAAGCTGTATTTCAAAGAAAACAAAGCCAAAAAGTTACGATTCAACAAAGAAACAATGTTGCACTGATCTAAGAACTGGGGCATTGTTTGACACTCGGAGAAATAAAGTTAATGAAAAGCTGTCATTGGACCTCTCTCCGCACCTTGGTAAATCTAGGAGCTTCGAATCAGTATTAAATAGCAACCAATGTAAGTTAGATGAGTCAGAGTTCCCCGGGGATCTTGTCGTCTCGCCTTGTAGAGGACATTCATATGTTGATAAAATTGAACTTTCGCAGGGGCTTAGCAACTACAGCTACTCTGAATCTGATCTCACCTACATTTCATCAGAGACAGTTTTTCTGACTGAAAACCCCTCATCTCGAGGACACAATAAATCACGCATAACTGGAGCACAAGGTAAGAAACTGGGAGAGCAATGCAAAGTTTAGCTTAGAGTTCCTGTAGATAAGGCCGGCACAAACTTTACGTTATCTCAGTTCTGAAACTAAAAGAGAACCTTTCCTGTGCGAAAAAAGTTTTTTTGGCCTTTCCTTTTGGGCACTGACAATCCTTAGTATCAGGAGAGTTTATTCATATCTTGAATTAGCGAGAGACTCCTTGGAAGCCACCGTTCCGCATGCATATGCACCCTTTTTTCCCTCGTACATGCTTTTTTTTTGTATGCAACTATTGAACCAATTTATTCTCCTCAAGCCGACGGCGGTCAATCATTGTCAGTTTAGTTACACGATTTCTTACTCTTTTATTTTTCAGTGGATCTCAAAAGATATCAAAGCAGAGAACAAATTCCACAGACCATGCTACCCTCACCAGACAGGGTTGACAAACAACTCAGCCATTTGAATAAAGAAGAACTTGACCAAGAGTTTTTCTGTTGAGTTATAACGTCCGAAAGCGCCTCTGGATTCTGATAACAATGGGGTGGCAAGTGACATGTAAAATGTCACCACCTGCTAGTCACAGTGGACGAATAATTGTGTTTGAGACAAAAACTATTTAACTCTGAAAGTATTTTTTCCATATTGCCTTAAGACATCAGTTAGCCATCAAACCTTTCCAAGCCAATATGGCCTTTTTAAGATATAAGTGAATGAAGTCTAATTTTCCTTCGCGTACAGTATTTCCTAATTTGAAGGAACACTATACTTTGTAGAATTTTAAGAATTTTCTTTTGGTTTGTCTGTTTGTCTTCTGGTTTCGCCTTTCGTTTTCGGAATAGAAACATCCGTTCATCATAAGCATAATTAGACCTATTAGTGAATAAAAGACGGATTTGTTAGCCATATAATGTCCTCAATGTCCTCGGTCATAAAATGTACGTTTAGTTATTTCTAATTTGATTTTGTCGATAAAAACTTTCTCGCTAAATCTCGTGTCTTGAGCTTGAATGTTACAACGTCTGATGTTAAAATGACTTAAAAATAAAACGTGAACGAGCCCCTGGAGGCATTAATTACCTTCTTAATCATGTGGTCCTCTCGTTTCGGTAAGCGGATTTCATCCTAATTGTTCGATAACGGCATCACTAAACAAATCATAAAGGACTTTTTAGAAATGGTGCCTGCCCTTTTTTGCACAAATTGATCTTGATTTGGTTTCATAACCTCAGCCATGCGTGGTGAACTTGCTGTAGATTCATGGATTTAGAAACGCGATTTACGGAGTCTTTTGTTAATAGCGGTCTCACTCGTGAAAGAATTCCCAGTTTCTGAGATAACCTAGTCGCAGCATAGCTAACATATTCATCGAAACAATGATTGTGGATATATGAAAATCATCTGTGTGAACTGCGGTTTAAGAAATGGATATGAAAGCGATCTTCGCAGTAATGAACACTGCTTAAGTAGTAGTGAAAATAAGGCCTGAAAAAATTTAGGCTTGTACGGGATTTGAAGCCATCACATCTGCGATACCGTTGCAGTGCTGTACCAACTGATCTAACAAGCCATTAAGTTGGTTCGTAATAAAGCCCAGGCATTATCTATTTTCATATTCATATTAAGTGAGACAGGTACTTGAATACTGTGTGATGCTTAAGTTCTCTCCAGCTCCGGATTCTTGCAGTCATTGTTTACTACCGTACAATAACTACTCGTTTTCTTGAGATTTAAAACGAGTTCTTTTCCTTAAAGCCAGTAAGAAACATTATCAGTGTCTAGAGACAACTTCATTCACTTCGAGAATGTAATCAGAAGGGAATAAATAAGAGAGTGGTCTGCATAGATGATCATTTTTAGCAATTGTAGGCACGAAGGACTGAAAGGTCATGAAATGTATTCTTTAAATCTTGAATTATTGTAGGATACCTCCAGGAGCTAGGGTATCAAAAGCTTGCTTCACTTCATTTAACAAAGCTCCAGCGAGGTTTGCTTGGCTCGAAGTTTTCAGTGAGCTGCCAGAGCAGTATGTTACAGAAACTGAGTAAAGCGAGTGGGAAGACCCTTCACTCTCGAGAAGTTTTTGATGCTATATTTAGAGGCCGAGGCCATCTTCAAGCTGTTACACTTCACTCTTGTGGCTTTGTTACCTCTTCTTGCAGGAGTTGTTAGCTCCAATCCTGGCACCTCAAATGATACAAGTGGTTTTCCTGGGCTTCAACAGAAAGGTATTCGCATCGGTCATTGAAATGTTAACCAGCCCTGCATTTCAAAATTTGATCAAGTTAAACTGTTTTGGTGGGCCGCTCTGGCCCACCAAAAACAGGAACAACTGGATGTACCTGATTCATATTAACCACTTCTGGATTTAAAATCGTTCAAAGAGACACACAAAGAAAAGCCGGAGGAGGTCTTTTAACTTTTATAAACAAGGAGTTGGCTGTCAAACGCAAGGCTGACCTCGAATCGCCAGACCTGGAAATTATCAGACTAGACTGAAGTTTTTCCTTTTAAGTCTAAAAGACCACTGTTCATATCAAGTTTAGACAGATCATCATCCTACAGAAAAGCTGATGATTTAAGATAGAATTCAACATCAAAAATGTTTACATGTTAAACAAGGAGACAACTGTATTGGGAGATTTCGACATCGATTCAAACAATACGGCAACGTCTAGTAAGCGCCTTATCACCAGAACTTAAACAGGTATGATCTTCTAACAATAGAAGATCTAGTTTTGTCTATCTCGCATTTAAGCAGGATATATGTATGGAACGTTCACGGACAGACAAACTTGGTCAAAATCGCAATTGGCATTACCATGCGCTTAAGCTTAAGCTTATAAGCTAGCGGCCGCCACTGTCACATTAATACTGGTCGCTGTTTTTTTAATAACGTTTCTCGGTCTTCAGTCCTCAAAGGAAAATGAGAACACAATGGCGAGGCGGACACTTAAAAATAGGAAAGGTCAGTGACATGTCCCTTAAAAGTTTTTCGTCGGTTGAATCACATTAGGCAGTATGTGGGTATATCCTTGGGATTAGCCAGTTATAGTCAGTATCTCTATTTTAAATGCATTTCTCGAAAATAAAAGGCTGCTGGCCAACTAGTGTCTCTCAAGTTTATCGTCTCAATCGGCAGCTCCTCGATGTCATGCCAAGAGTTTTCAATCTTGTTAAATAATGTTTGTGGGAGTTATCAGGTTGAAGTGCGTGATCTGGTCTTGCATGGACACGACCACAAAATAAGCCTTGAAAATAATTTTTTGTTGGAAGATATTTACCTTCCCTGTTTTCATTTTCATCATCTTTGTCGATTTTTTTAAGTATATCCTGAATGAAAACTGGAAAACAAGCAGTGAGGCAAATTGAAAACATTTAGTGTTCCTACTTTGAACTCCATGATTTGAAACAGGTAAACAGACCCTAAGAATATCATGTGGTGTGGCAATCGTTGGTGGCGGAATTTCTGGTTTGTACGTAGCAGACACTTTGGTTAAGCTTCAGAAAGAGACCAACGTCTGCTTGTTTGAAAGAGACAATCAGTTTGGTGGGCGAATACGCGATCACACATTCCCCAGCGTACCTAGCATTACAGTTGGTGAGAACACACGGAGGCAGATCAGTTTTGTTTCGAGCTTTACTCAGCAATAGGCTCCAGTTGAAGAGGCCGTTATATGACTGCAGCCTAGTTTTTCGTTACTTGAAAAAGAACACGATAATAACGCCGAAAACCTTCCAACTTTAAATAGAAGTATATACAACAAATAGAGTCGTATGATGCACGATCCTCGCAGTAGATAGCGCTATTTAAGCAATAGCGAAAATCAGACCTGAAAAAAAAACCAGGCCTGTACGGGATTCGAACCACTGACCTCTGCGATACTAGTGCAGCGCTCTACCAATTGAGCTAACAAGCCAACTGGGAGCATCATACGTATCTAATACCGCAGTTCAAAATATATGAACTTCATATATTTCATTGTATCTAACAAATAGAGTGTTTAACGCAATATTTCGGTTCTCACGGCAAATTAAAGCCACTATCAAGTTTGACAGAGGTAGTAGAGCGTTGAGCTATTAAGGAGGTGCGAAAAAGCTAATAACTGTAGCAAGAATGCAAAAACAAGAATTCGGGACGAAGTACATCAATTAACCAAACTAAAACAGTGTGACTTTTTTAGTTGCAAGGTTTGTACCGCTTAGTAATTATCAGTAGAGATTACAAGAAACATAACTAGTTATGCGAAAATAAGTTAGCTAGACGGTCTTCGAAGATGTTATCTTTTTATGCTTTCTTTAGCTGTCGGCGAGAAAACGTTACACGAAGAACTAAACTAAAAGATGAAATGTCCAAATGTGGATGGAAAGTGGAACTGAAAGGTGAAATGCATAGACGGGTAATATGTTCGCGAAGTTTTAAAGAATTTTTTTCAGGTCTGATTTTCGCTATTGCTTAAATAGCGCTATATACTGCGAGGATCGTGCATCATACGTATCTAATACCGCAGTTCAAAATATATGAACTTCATATATTTCATTGTATCTAACAAATAGAGTGTTTAACGCAATATTTCGGTTCTCACGGCAAATTAAAGCCACTATCAAGTTTGACAGAGGTAGTAGAGCGTTGAGCTATTAAGGAGGTGCGAAAAAGCTAATAACTGTAGCAAGAATGCAAAAACAAGAATTCGGGACGAAGTACATCAATTAACCAAACTAAAACAGTGTGACTTTTTTAGTTGCAAGGTTTGTACCACTTAGTAATTATCAGTAGAGATTACAAGAAACATAACTAGTTATGCGAAAATAAGTTAGCTAGACGGTCTTCGAAGATGTTATCTTTTTATGCTTTCTTTAGCTGTCGGCGAGAAAACGTTACACGAAGAACTAAACTAAAAGATGAAATGTCCAACTGTGGATGGAAAGTGGAACTGAAAGGTGAAATGCATAGACGGGTAATATGTTCGCGAAGTTTTAAAGAGAAATTTCGTTTTTAGGTCTTGGCGCGTGGCGTTTGAACGAAAGGCATTCAGTAACTCGGTAAGTGGAAGATACGTTAAACTAAGACACAAAAATTGTCAATAAAACTGTGTATTTACTATAATCGCGTGTAACACATTATAATTTAAGCTTCGTAAAAGTCCCAAAGGATTTTCAGTAGAATCTTCTTATTTTTACACTCGTCCGTACGATATGCACAGAGGCCACTAAATGATCAAAGCTCAAATTTAACTCGAATCGCTTTAATTTTCTTTCAACTCAGATTTGTTATTATTATGCACTTGTTGGAGCGTTTTCAGGGTGGACGAAGGGTAAGCTAATCCCGCCAAGCTTAAAAGGAGGCCATAGGAGTTTGTGGCTGTCTTTTGAAACTCTTTCACTTGATGATATTCTTGGTAACACAGTAACATTCCATTAACTAATTGCGTTAAAAATCCACCTTCTAAATACAACGTTCACTTGCGTAAGAATGTTTTGATTAGAAATAGCGCATATCCTACATGCTGTCGTACGATATTAACGAGACGTACTCAGAAAAGCAAATGAAGAGAGATCTTTTTTCAGTATTGTACTAACCCAAGAGAAAAAAGGTCATGACTAACTATTGCATCGTTACGAAAATGAATTCTTGCTTCTTGATAATACTGACGCTGAACTGTATTGATATGAATACCTCCCTCTCTATTTCTTTCTTTCGTTGCCGTTAGGAGTGTACTACAACGGTTCAACATATCCACCATTCGCTTTCCGAAACTCACTCGCGATAGTCTAGAAGCCCGAGGGACCTTTACCACCGATAGTCGGTCGTTTAAACAGAGATCATTCCCCACACTTGACCGTTGGTTTGATATCACAGATATGCAGCGTCATCTCGCTCGTCAACGGAAAGAAACGAGAAAGTTCGAAAGCTTACCTGACTTTTTGTCTGAGTACTTGACGCCCGAAGAGTTGAAGTTACTCAATCACTGGACAGGTAAACCACCAGACTATGCCCGACAAAGAAACGCCAACACATTGTTTGAAGTTGAAAAGGCACATGTAATGCCATAGTACGATACCTAACCATATCAGA